TGTGTGTGTGTGTGTGTGTGTGTGTGTGTGTGTGTGTGTGTGTGTGTGTGTGTGTGTGTGTGTGTGTGTGTGTGTGTGTGTGTGTGTCTGTGTGTGTGTGTGTGTGTGTGTGTGTGTGTGTGTGTGTGTGTGTGTGTGTGTGTGTGTGTGTGTGTGTGTGTGTGTGTGTGTGTGTGTGTGTGTGTGTGTGTGTGTGTGTGTGTGTGTGTGTGTGTGTGTGTGTGTGTGTGTGTGTGTGTGTGTGTGTGTGTGTGTGTGTGTGTGTGTGTGTGTGTGTGTGTGTGTGTGTGTGTGTGTGTGTGTGTGTGTGTGTGTGTGTGTGTGTGTGTGTGTGTGTGTGTGTGTGTGTGTGTGTGTGTGTGTGTGTGTGTGTGTGTGTGTGTGTGTGTGTGTGTGTGTGTGTGTGTGTGTGTGTGTGTGTGTGTGTGTGTGTGTGTGTGTGTGTGTGTGTGTGTGTGTGTGTGTGTTTTTGGAGGCCTGCGTCTCTGCCAATTGGAGACCTTGAAAATCGGCGAAAGCTTCGCGAGAAGCTCCAGTGCAAGGAGCTGCTTGTAGAAACCCTGGGGGGAAACATCTGCAAAGAGCTAAAGAAGGGCTCGGGCGGGGATCCTGTAAGCTTTCAGAAACTGAGCCGTCCGAAGGCTAAGGGAGAGCCTCGACTTCTGGGTGGTGGCTTCGCATGCAGGACTTCCGGTGGTACCTCCAGACAGTGACGCCGAACCTCTTTGTGCCAAAGATCTCGCCCGAAACAAAGGCAGAGCGTGGAAAGCGGAATGTTGGGATGCAGTTGCGGTTGCAGTGGCGGTTGCAGTGGAATGCTTGTGGATCCTACAGCTTCATAGCGCCTACACTATGCCATCTATGCCTTTATGCCGCTCGTTTCTCCTGAAGCAGCTTGTGCTTGTCGGCTCTCCTTTCGGGCTCTTTGTGCTGTTCTTCCTGATGTTGCGTTTTGAATTTTGTCGATTCCCAACTGTTTTCTCCCTGAGAAGCAGCATTCCTTCAGGGTGGTGCACTGAGAAACCAGGCGTTGGATGCATGCCAGAGACCCAGTTGCCAAAGCACCTTTGCGAAATTATGGCGTGAGCTCAAAGCGAAACATGAAATCGGCAAGGTCTGGACACGCTTGGAAGCAGGGGCCCTAAGGTTCACGATTTTTGAGTTTGGAGCATGCTCACATTTGGATGTCGAGGCAGGGCGGGAGCATGAAGACAAGAACAGAAAGAAAGAGAGTGAGAGCAGTGATGGAGCACACCCCTCTCGACCAGTAATTCCTTCCACCGACGCACCGGACGCAAGGCTCCGAGACCATTGAAAATTCTCTCGAAGCATTTGCGCCACCTCCGCAAAATTCCACCGTCCTGGAAGGTGCACCACCCTTGTGACTAAGATGTTACACAGCCTCGCGCGAAAAACTCGGCACAATTCAGAGAAGGAAAGACCTCTGTGCAAAGACGAGGAAGGAGCTGGGCGTGGTGTCGTGGCTAAGTGTGGCCTTGGTGAACAACGTCCCCAAGCCGGCTCACGTCTTATCATATGTTAGGAAGGGCGTTGAGAAGCGCCACGGACATTACACAGTCAAAGACCCGAGCTCGAGGTCGTGTTCCGGGCCAGGCCATCGGATGCTATCCTTGCCATGGCCAGCACGGCACGCAGGCCAGGCGGCGCAGACGGGGGCCAAAGCTTTGGGGCTTCCACTTCAGCTGCTGCTTTTTTTCTGTAAGTTTGGTGTGCTCCGCCCCACTTGCGGCAGCTTTTTGACTCTCACCCCCTGAACCTTTGCTTTCTGCTTCCTTATTGTCCTCCTGGCTACAGCAAATACAACAAAAAGTTGGAACCCTTTCGGCCCTTTCGTGTATCAGTGAGTCGTCCTTGAGGGATGCCCTTGAGCTTCAGTACGTCGCTTCTCGTAGGGACACAACTTCGTGGTACAGTACCGTGATGCTGCCTGTGCAGCTGCCCTGCAGGCTGTTCTCGCACAACTAGACAAGGGGCACAGGAAATTGAACTACGGTAACCCTTCTAAACTCAAAAAACATTGCATCCAAAACACTTGATTTTTGTCACCATGAACAAAGCAAGAAGGAGCTCAAAACTTCAATCACTCGGAGGCCTTCGTCGAGGACAAGTCGGGCTTGCTTCGCGTGTCCAGTCCTCAGCCAGACTTCCATTTTATTTGCATTGGGTTTTGGGTTGGGTCTCCTAAGGTGGCTGAGGAAGGCTCTGCCCTAGAGCTTCGCTGCCCATACGCTCCAAGTCCGTGCTTAAACAAAGAGGTACGAAGTTTAGGTTCTACTGCGAAGCGGTGCCTTCCGGAACGAACCAATTTGCTTCTGCGTCGCTTGCTACACGAAACTCCACCTGCAGGAAGCACGCAGCAACCAGCAAAGAAAGCAATGAATGAAGCGAGACCGATTCCTCTTGCCCGGCTCATGGCCCTTGGCCGCCTTGGCCGAAGCTTGGTATCCTCAAGCTCACGAAGCTCACAGCTTCTGGCACTGAAGCCTCCTTGAACATGGGCACTCGGCACTCTTCGCCGCACGTCTCACCGAGGCCACAGCTGGGTTACAAGATGCCGCGCGCCCAAGCAAAAGCTCCTGTCTGGTGGTACCTCCCTGTTGGCCCCTTTGTTTTGGAGGACCCTTCAGAGCCTTTGGATGTGCACATACATTCTCACGTGTTGAACGGATGTTGGATGTGCACATACATGAAGACCTTTGGGATAAAAAAGGGCCAGAAGTGCCGGATCCGTCTCATGTGTACAATCCCAAGTTTTCAGACAGGGAGATCTAGCAGAGCGAGCCCCAATTGAAGCAAGAACCGGGACAGCCCCAAACCGCCAGAATTGCTCGGGCCATCACTTCCAGGAGTCGCAAATCTTCTCGGAAGCCCTGAGAGCTGAGGTGCCTCTCTTTGGAGGATAGCTTTGTGGGCGTGAGGCCCTGCAAGGCGCAGATGCGGAGATGGCCTGAGAGAGTCGGAATGAATCGGGATGCGTTTCTTTTGTCCAGGAGACTGACGAGAGGCTCAAGTGGCGGGGCACTCATCTGTTGTACGAGGGCAGCGTCGCATCGCTGTGCAGCAGTGGTGCCCGCGGACTTCTTTCAGTCAACCCTGCTGATCAGATCGTACAATCTGACCGGGCGTTCTGCACGCCCGCCTTGAAATTTCTGTGCAAGTTGCATCTCGCAGCTCCGCAAGCAGCTGTCCAGTCTGCTGCCACGACAAGTCACCAGGCCAACTGGGTTCCAGCTTGGTACACTCGTATACCTTTTTGAGGAAAGGTACCCCTGAAGCTGCGGAAGTGAATCAAAGCCTGCATTTTCATCAGCACAACGACCGTATGCTTCAACTCCCGTTGCCACAAGCAGCTTCTGCGCTCGAAGCTCGAAAGCCGCTGCAGAATTAGTGAGTTTTTTCCATAGTAGTCGAAGATTTGGGGAGCCGAGTGAGAATCGGGATTGCATGATCGCCACGAGGTCCTGCACACGGTTGAAATCACAGCTCTGCGCTTCAGCCACATCTATATGCTTCGCTCAGGTCTTTGGATTCAAACCTGCACATCAGGAGCGATGTTTTCGAACAGCTTGTAGAATGAATGTTCTCAGGCTCCCATACAGTAGCTATTGCTCTTGTGGCACGCCTCGTCCTTCCACGGCCGATGCACGCACACACAGGGCAACCAGAATCAAGAACCCCGAAGAGGACATGCTAGACTGCTGGACTTGATATTCTTGTTAATCCAAGCTCCGTTGCACTGAGCCAAGCATTGGGCAATGAGTTCGCAGTGCGAGCAGGAGCCTGCAAGGCGTTTGCCTAGAGGCTTCAGAGCAGCCCTCACCGCAAAGCTGGCTTCTCAAGTTATCGGAGATTTTGAGATTTGGTCCGCAATGCAAGAATATGTCCAGTTTGCTTCACGAGGTCCGTACACACTCAAGGCGGCGGCCTCAGTGACGATGCATACGATGCTCTTGCTACAGCACCTTCGTTTCCATGCGAGGCTTTTGCATTTGCCTTTTCAGGCCTGCAGGGTGTCAGCGGGGCTGCTATGTTTTCGCAAGCCGCCTTGAGTCTAGTCTAGCTACGGAAGAAGATGGAAGACGGGATGAAAGATAAACCTTTGATTGCAACCTAGATCGTGGCGCGTGTGATCGACAGCATCAGCGGGTGTTGCACCCTTTTGGAAATACACCGTGGGCCACCCTGAACCAGCATGCATGCTGGTGTATGAAGTGAGAGAATGGACCGCCCTCGGCAAGTTCTCAAGTTGTGGAACTCTCGCACCGCTCCGCTCACGCACAGGTCCTGATTGCGTGCATTAGCTGTCAAGTCACAGAGGCTCAAGCCGCACAATCCTCCAGCTTCGCAGAGCTTTGCCAAGGTCGGCACCTGTCAAGACGGCGGGAGACAAGAGTGGCATTGGGCCTAATCTGAATAGCTTGAAGATTTCGGTTGGCGTTTGCTAGAATACCGGTTTTGCTTTCGAGCGTTGCAGTCTGATACGAATCGTATGCCATCGTTTGACGCTGCATCTTGTGGCAAACCTGTGTGGCTTCGGTACGTAATGGCGCATGCCCTGTCCAAGCCGACCTGAGCCGCGCACGCCGTAAAAGTCGCAACATCCCAGCAGTCCGACTTGTGAACCCCAGGCCCCGCAAACCAGTCCTATCTTGACTTCACCCCTTGTTGATCGAGCCTACGTGACCATGAAGGCCCCTGCAACGATGAAGCTGAGACTCTGCATGCGCTTTAGAAGCCATTTCTACCAGCTCTTAGGCCAGGCTGTGCCGTGGTTTTCAGTTGTAGGTAAGCCCCTGTCACTGGGGTTGTCCACCAAAGAACAGCAGGGATTGTGAGCAACAGTCCTGGTTGATCATGGCTTCTGCGTTTTTCGGAATCATGGCTTGCGTCCAGGGGAACCCGCAGTATCTCTCGGCTCGAGGCGAAGCCCGACACATCCCAATACTGTTTGCGAAACAAGTCTACAAAGTCGATTCGTGATGCCACGCTTCGTTGAAGATGGCACTTCTCTGCACCTGCTTCTTGGACTTTGAGGGCAGAGGCGTCGGGAAGAGGGGACGAAGCAGCGCAGTCGGGGCCAGGGCAGCTGGAAGTGTTGCACTTACAGCTTATGTTGCTCGAACGAAGCGAATTGGCTTCGTCATTCTGCATGCTAGAACTGCCTAGCGTCCACCGACTGGGAATTGTGAGACCTCGTTTGGTGCAGCGTCAACCGCAGTTGCACTCCTAGCAGCAATCCGAGGACTGCAGAATCCATATTGGACAAGGTGGCTGCTGTTCTTGTCACTCGCACTAGCTTCGTCGTGACAGCCTTGAAGAGAGAATGGGCCTTTGTCCACTGGAGTTAACATGGCTTTGTTTCTCTTGCACCACCGTCAGTGTCCTTACTCTGGAAAGGAGTAGCTGCCTAAAACTTGTTAACTTTTCATGAAGGCTTTGCAGCTGCTTGCACGTATAAGGCTTCCCAGAATGCCCTGCCCAACGCCGGCAACTCGCGGCGCACGGAGTCCCATTATTTACGGCGAATGCTGCAAATCGGGTCTCCGCGTCCTTTTGTTTACACAAGACGCTCGCGGCGCACGTCTCCCGCTGCGGTGTGGTGCATACTCTTCGCTCACGTCCTACTAATTACAGACGAGTCGCTCCGGACACGCGCCCGGGACCCGGACCCGGAGTCATGGAAACATTGTGACATGGAACTTCGACAACTTTGAATCGGAGCAGACCTTGGTTGAAACAATCCGGGTGTTCTTCTGGATCCCGCCTGCTGAGGGGGAGAAGCATGAGTGGGGTGCTCCACAAAGCGAGCAGACCAACATGCCGCCAGTACTTTCAGGGCATTCCGGCGTGGTGCTCCATGCGCTAGTGCAGTTTCTCCGTCTCATGGTGGTCTCGTGGGTCGCAGAGCTATCGCGGGTGGTCTTCTGATGATCTCCAGCTGTTCTTTGGTCGGTGTCCTTGTAGTCTCCAGATGGTTAGTGGTGTCCTGCTGTGCTCTCCTGGTGGTCTCCTGGTCGTTGCAAGCCTCAAAATAAAGCACGCGGCATGCTTCCCGGGGTTCCCCTTCAACGCTGAAGCCGCTAAAATGATGTCGTCGAGCATGTGCCATTTGGATGTTGGTTTCTATTGTCAAGCACATGCTTTCGGGATACCGATGGCACGGGAATGATGACCCCCATGACGTCCAATGCTTGATGATCATTTACGTGTGCACGGGACTGCCTTCCAAGTTCGTGTGGTTTGTTGCTCTTTGATTTAGGTTGTTGTCTGCTCTTCGTCTTCTTTTCCTTTGTGCAATGCAGTCGCTGAGTATGCTGTTTGAGTGTCCAACTCGAAAGTCTGTTAAGCGTCATCTTGTTCACTATGCTTACTCAGACTTTGTAACAGTACCTGAAGGCTTTCAGCAATGCCAGGATAAACCCTAGCCAGTGAAACAGTACCTAGCGGTCCAAGCCCTGCACTCCAAGGTTGCAGGAGCAACACTGATTCCAGACCACGCATGCACGGAACTCTGACGAGAGCACGGCTTCGGAGGCTGAAAAGGAAGACAACGTGATTGGAAGACGATGTGCATCCGTTACTACACGCGACACTTGCAGGGACTCAAATTTCGATCACCAAGAAACTGCTGAACTTAGGCTTAGCGCTAAACCTGTGGACATCGGTACTTCGACTGCACCACTCGGCGATCCCTGAAGAGCCGAACAGTTTGGCACAGCGACTTGGGACATGAAGGCCGAGAGGAGCACAGGAATGTGGCAGCCAAGGCAACCGCTTTCAGAAGCCCCGGCCCTAAACCTGTCGCCTGGATTGTCCGAGTGTGAGCGCCGAAACCTGTCGATTTCCCACAAACCCCTCGGGCATTGGGTTCTCCTGTAGATTTTTCCAAACGCGTGAGCCGCGATACGGGGCGCGCCGCGGCAGCACAAGCGGTCTTCGGCGTTCAACGGGCTTGGCAGGGCGCAAGAGCAAGCAGATCAAATGCGGCTGAAGTTCGGTAGAATTGGAAAAAGCATGCCTTGAGGGCGTTCCACCGAAGTGCGGAAGTTTGTCCCCTTTCCGCTATACGGGTGCGGGGTGCGCGGTGCGGTCCGGAGTGTCGCAGCGTCTCTGCTTGGGACACGACAGAAAGAGCTCCTAGAGAGCCAGGCCTAGTTGTGCCTGCGTCCTGTGTGTCCTGTTTTCAGGTTTGCATTCCCAGAAAACACTGCTGCTTTTGCTGCTGTGCATGCTGCCGCTGCCACTACTACCGGAACAAATCTGAAAGCCGGCGGACGTGACGGCCAAAGCCTGCTTGCAGCAGAAGGCAGAAGCATGAAGGGAAGGGAAAGTTCTTCCGAACCCCCCGGTTTCGGAGGTGGACGCTGCGACTTCCATGGCTGCGGAAGCAAAGGAATTTGCGCGAGCTCTCGCGGAGGAGAGATCGCAGGGAGAGGGGAGAGAGCCGCGTTGCCGCGTGGCCGGGGATGTGTGTTTCTCATGACTCGCGGAGGCGCCGTGGGCGCCGTGGGGATGCTCTCGCGGCTGATAGCATGTCTTGTCTTGAGCTTCGCTGTGTTGCAGGAGTTTTCAGGGACGACAACCGGCGACGACTTCCCCTGTTGCTGCTGTGAAGTCGCATGACTGAAATAGGCCGCCGTCGAGATCTAAGGCACGTAATGTTGATAGTGAACATGGCCAGCGATGAGTTCTGACTCTCGACACGTCGGGGGCGTCACGATCTGAGATCATCTGCGACTGTCTCAAGTGCTGCCTAGACGCTCTTCCGGCGCCTTGGCACTTCCTGGCAGCGGTGAAAGAGATCGAAGGTTTCGCTGCGACACCCCTGTTAAGCCAAGTTCGTGGGAACCTCAAGTACCTCCTCACATCGGAGGAGGAATAAAAGTCTCTTGGAAGCTCCGGGACAGGCCAGGCCGTCATGGCAAGATGGGTCATAGCTCACATCACATGCTGGTTTCAGTTGCATGCCGGCTTTGTAGAGATTTTCCAGAGTCCAACGCTAAGTTCACCTTGGCAATCGCACGCATGCATGACAGCAGAAGAACCTGTGGATGTGGGTTTGTCGCGGACTTCCCCTCAGGAAGAGATGGGCGGAGAGAGCCTTGGGCATGAGACTTTAAGCGTTCCAAGACGCAATCTACAAATCTCATGAAAGCACTCGAGTGAGGTGCCAAGTACACAGCAAAGTCTGAGCAGGAATCTCTCGAGTGTTCTTAGCTTTCAGGTGCGTTGTTGGCAACATGCTCGCAGTCAAGTTTGCTTGGCAACTTCTTGCCAAGCCTACCAAAGCAAGAAAAAACTGCGAAAAAGAGCTTCAACAGAAAGAGGCAAGAAGCAAAAGGCGTCAACAGGTCTCAAGGACCAGAGCCAAGGCAGCCCAGCCTCCTGGAGCGGATCGCACGGTTGTCCTCCGAGGACGAATTGTCATGCCGTCTGAAATATCGGTGCTGCTTGAGTAGGGAGGTCGGAGTAACTAGTCACGGTATGCCCTTGACTTTCCTGTGAAACTGTACTGTTTTTTCTGTTCGCAGCAACGTTGTCAGGACCAGCCGCAAACGTCATGAGACAATCCTGAAGCCAGCCGAGAATGACACCGAAAGCCGCCCCCGCCTGCGACGACCAAACAAATTGCATGGCACACGAGCAGTTGAGAGAGGACTGGTGTGACCACGGTGGATCCTTACAATTGATGCTTGTGACAGAAAACCTGCTTGCCTGTTGCTGCCAACATACAAGGACAGAACGAGGTATGTCGTGCAAGAAAACAAAGACTGTTTTTCTCCGCGGAGCTGTGGTCATTTTTTACGCCACCTGTTGTCTAAGTCTAGTCTCGAAGCTCTCTTGCATCAGCTTGGTGAATGCCCTGAAGGGTAGGGGACTTAGAGGATGGGCCGAGCGCCCTGGTCCAATCCGTCATTGGCAGAATGGCATCCACCTACTGTCCAAGTACAGTCTCGAAAGTATCATGTATGATGTGGACAAGGTGGATATAAGTCCTGGGTGTATATCAGGTTCGTGACTGTTGGGAGTTGGGGAGTGCAGGACCTTGGAGAAGTTCTACGCCTCGCGATGAAGTCAGAGAAATGGAACTCCAAGGACGTGCCATGCGAGGGCTTGTTTCGCAGGTTTGCAGGGAGCTACGACGGCAACGAATCCGTGGGTCTCTGTGTGGCGTCATGAGCTCAGCATATAGCTCAGCACATGAACGGATTCACGAAAGCAAACAGACTGAAGTGGCAGCGATGAAACAGTTAGGACCTAGGACACTATGTAAGCGATGTGCTGCTGCAGGAAAAGTTTGGATTGTGGCTCTTTGAGAAGAAGTTCGGCGAGCACGAATCTTGTCAGCCTATAAGGGTCATGACACAGCTACGTCGCCAGCTGTTGAGCACGACATTCTGATCTCGCAATCTGGAACATTGCAGAGGTTGAAGATTGCACACCATCTTCCACAGGGCCGCATAGTTTTGCGGCTGTTCACGCATATGCTAGTATCTTCAGGTCTCCACGGTGCCAGGATTGAAGCAGGCTGTAAGTAGCGACTGCTCGAAGGCGTTCCAGGAGGTTCATTCCCGCCTCTCCGGTTCCTGCTTGTGGTGCGTCCTGAAGGGATGCTCTTCAGCCCGGGGAGGTCTGTGACGGTAGTGGACGGCAGAAGTCCTTGCAACTTGCCATTGGGATGAGAGGCTTTTAAAGTCTTGCAGAGTCGGAAAGCTAGGCGGGTGGCATCGGATTGAAGGGGGCAATCAAATAATCAGTACACGGCGAGCGTAACAGTATCATAGGCAGTGGGAGGACGGGGGTGGAGTTGACCACACCACCTTCAAGGATGTACAGATGACGAGCTCGATGGGAATGGTTGGATTTGTGGGCTTGATGCCTGCGCGAAGGAGCGGAAAAACTTGGAGAAATGCGTCGAGCAACTGGAGCTGGAAACACCCAAGCTCATGGAGGAGGAGCCGAGAGCATTATTTTGATTCTGTAAGTTGTGATCCGTTGAATATGTTGAGGCAGCTCTTGTTGTTATCGTATAGTTGCCATGCATACCATTGTGCTGCAAAATGCCCAACACCCCATTCTAATTATGAAGACTCCTATATAATATGCATCGCAACACGGGCAGACTTTTGGCTTCATCAGCACAGTTCAATCCCCTGCACTGTACTGTGTTCGATAGGGTTCAAACCAGTGTCACTGCCCAGCCAACCTCTGTTCGTTATGACGAGCTGGCATCCGAAAACTGTAGCAAGACAGATAGGAGGAATCTCATCAAATTGCTAACAGTCCGTGGCGGAACTAACCTGTTGCTTCCGCGGCTTCGGCCAGTGTTAGAGGTGCTGTGTCTAAACGCGATTGGCACCCACGGAACAGAGCTAAGCGTCCGCAGCATTTATGGCAGGTTGAACCGCCCTCGCTTGTATAGCCGGAAGAAACTGTGTCAGGGCTCAGCATCAGGATTTTGGTGCTAGAAAAAGAGAAACCGAGCCAGAGTCGACCCCGGACCGCGGTAGAGAATCTTCGGCATCCCGCTTTTCAAGGTTAAGGCTAAGGGAGTTCACAGTTCGGCCAGCCCGGAAAAGGACCACCTGACGAAGAAGGATGTGGAGCAAAAGAAGACCAGCGATGCCAAGGCCATCAGAAGCAGAAGCCATGAATACTTTCTAGGCATCAGCAAGAACTAATATCAAGCATGTCGTGGGGTTGCCATGTGGTGGGCAAGCCCCACAACTCCTTAAGCTACCTAGTAACAGAGAACGAGAGAGAGCGAGAGCTAAACACCTGCAGCAAGCAAAAGGACGTAGCCATTTTGGCTCAAGCCGCGAGTCGAGGCTGAGCGGCAGAGATTCCACAGAAAGGGAGCTTGGCCTTCTTCTCGTTTGTCTTGCTGAGAGCCAGTCGCAACCCGGAGCATTTTGTGTCGAATCCGCACAGCCTCCTCAACAGCCATCTTCATACGGTCCCGCACGGCGGCGGCCTACCAAGCTGCACCACCACCGAGACATTGACTTCAGCTATCGGCGGTTGTTTCGGTGGGTACCATGCGTGGCTGACCTTGAACTTTGCCCACCTCGATCGCCAAAAATGGCCTGTTGCAAATCCAGGGAGCTAGCAAACCTTGCCGAATTGGAGAGATGGCGGAGGCGCGAATGCATCCGGAGCGGAGCAGCCCAGCGAAACAGCGGCGCCAAATAAGCAGAAGCTCAGCCTGGAAGTCCGGGAAGTGGCGCGGCCACTTTGAGCGCAGAGCTTGGGGCTGTAGAAACCCTCCAGGACCTTCGAGTCGACAGACCAAGCATCTCCGAAGAGTCAGGCTACGGCAAGGTCAAGTACCTGCGGCTACAGCTGTCCCAATCACGCGAGCGGCGCAGGCGCGTTCAGAATACGAGCGAGTCTGCCTCGTGTTGGCGGCGTCTTTGGCACAAGTGGAGAATGAATGGCCAACGGATACAGTGTAGCTAGATCGGTTTGCGCCAGCACGCTTGCTCTTTCAACCCATGCGAATCCGTGAAACGTGGGGGCAGACTGCATCAACTTCAAGGACATTGCGAGGTCGTGGGAAACGCAAGGAGTTCCCGCTGCTGCTGCGGGTTGTGGTTGCTCCTATGTGCCCGTGTGGACGCAGAAAGCTGCACTTCAACCCATACATGAGCTTCCACGACTTGCTGCTTGCACAAAATCTGCCGGATTCTGTGATAACTTCCACTTCCAGCACCCCATGAGAGGACGCAGCGTCCAATTTACTTTAAGGGGGGTCTGCGCTCGTCCCATGCTTCCCCTCCTGCGGCTTGGGTCTGCTGGAGCCCGGGATTCTTTCCATCCAATCCCATTTCCGACACAGCGGCGCAGCAAACAGGGCGAGGCGACGACACCCCCTCGCAAACAAACGCTGGCAGGGTTCCAGAGCTGACGGGGACACCCGAGACGCTGGCTTCCAAGCCAAGCGGCGCCACCTCAGCCGCAAGTGTAAGCACACCAAGTGGGACCCCCGCACTAACCCTCACTCACATGGAAGAACCACAAAACTGTGTCTCTGGAAACACCCAGTCTGGAGCAGCGACTTCTGGTGACGTTGAACGACGCGCTAGACACAGGACGCTGCAAGCGGTACGAGTAGTCACAACACGCACGTATGCTACGATATACATAGCCCTGTTCAAAGCAATGCCGCTAGGCATGTGGCAAGCCTCGGATACATGCAGTGCACGCTGCTGGGGATGCAGAGCAAATACGGGAGAAGACACAAGTTGTTCACTCCGAACTCCGAACAGCCTGAGATAGAGAGCGAAACTGCTTCCAACACTAGCGCTTCATGCTCCGGATTATAGCTACCTCGCCTCCGACACCTGTGTGTGAAGTGAGCAGACTTCGGAGGTTGCGGCCAAGTTCGTGAAGATGTTGGCAGCAACAACGCTGACCAAGCATGGCGCCGCCATCGCGGGGACGGGATTAGGACAGACACTGCCGCAGCCAGGTTCGCACCTCTTGCACGAATTGTTCTCCAAACTGGGAGGAGCCGTTAAGCTGCAGCACTGTGAGCCAGTCCTCTGCGCTGGGGACCTGCAATATAAGCTGGACCAAACGGGCCTTCACCAGCTTCTTTGCAGAACTAGCGGGCTCTAGGAAGCTTCAGGGGTGAAGAGTAGCAGGAGGGAATCCACTGTGAAGTTTCTCCTTCTCGCGCCATCTAATTGAAGGGATTCCTTCATGCTTCGAATTGTTCGGTAGGTTCACCGGTTTTCCCTGAAATCTTCTCAGCTCCCAGGTGCACCTGGAACTGTCCGACCGGCCAAGTTCCAGAGCTCCGCCGGAGATTTCAGACATGGATATCTTGATGATTCTCTAGATATGGGTTCTTCTCAGAAAGTCCACAAATTCCATGTCTATGTCTTTCTTGCAACCTAAGCTAGAGCATTCCCCTTCTGGGGTTTCAGGATTTGTGATGGATTTGGAATTCCAGGATGCAGCAATCACACAAAGCAACACAACAGAGTTTTGTCTGGCTGCTCTGGCGAAGAAAGCGAGGATGAAAGGAGCAGATTTGCATTTGGCGACGCTGTGACACACAGGCACTTTTCCAATCAGTTGGTGCGGAGATGATGGAAGAACTGCAACTTGCCTATCACAGTACGTCAGGAGCGTGCAAGACTAGGGCGTCTATCCGACCGTTTCCAGAGTGTTGGCAGCGTAGCTCGGCGTGTAGTACAATCTGCAGCCTCACACTTTCCATGCGCCACCATGAGGAGTACTGCAGGCGGTCGCTGAAGCTAGCAGTTGTTGTTGACTTTGAAGCAGGCCTTTGGTAGTCTGGGACACGGCCCGCTAGGGAATGCTGTCAGGGAAGAGGTCACGCCGCTGGAGGAAGAGAAGAAAGAAGTCCAAGAAGCCGCCAAGGAGACAGCACTCTGCGATAAACTGTCAGCGGCCACTGGCTACATGTCGTTTGCAGCATACTGTTCAGGGACCACGCAAAACCGTGCGACGTAGCATACCGAATCATGCCGTGAACGCGTGCCCGTGTGTTGTGTAACCACATGATGAAAGGAGAGGCAAAAGCGTTTTGGTTCCCAGTCTTCATTTTCGTTTCCGTCTACATGGTGAAATTGGCGAGCGTTTCAGCACAATGTCCTGTTTGGTTGGCATTGGCATGTGCGCCACGCAACGTGGTCGTGACGACAAGGCTTGCTTTACTGGCCTTCAAACTCGGGATACTGCGCACAGAGAAGGAAGAGCAGCAACACGCGTGCAATTTAAAGTGGAGACTTCCTCCTCTCGTCCATCAAGTTGGTGAGGAGATGGAAAGCGTGGCCTCTTCCCCAAAGGAATTTGAGAAGTCCGAGGCGTTCTCCCAGGCAGGGACGTTTTCAGGTGTGGGAGGAGTCATTTGTTTGGCCTGAGCCTAGACCATGCGCGGAAGTAATGTTCACAGCACCCACGCAGATGCCCAAGTATTTGTTCTGGAGAGCTGATCAGACGTCGCATGTCATAGCATGCACGTCCAACAGGAGAAGCAGTCACAGGTACTACAGAGAAGATCGATGCAGATTGAGCAAGCGATGATGTACAGAGCGTTCACTCCGAACCCGAACTGAATGCGAACAGAGCCGGTAACGAAGCACCGACAGTCCATGAGAGGGTCAATGTACAAATATCCATGCTGCAGATACAGGGGCTTCATGCATGGGCCGCCGTCCTGCATGCAGGTCAACAAGCTCAAGCTGCGCTTCCATGAGGCATGGCGGCATGGGCTTGAATCCGACTCTGCGGTTTTAGCCGCTTTTAGCCTTTCAGCATGCGGCAGGCACTGAGTGACAAGCCACTGAAGCTGTCTCAGACGGCAAATCCCACAGCAGCTGATCTGCATTTCGCTTGTTCTGTAGAAGGCGTCTCGGTGTGCCCAGTTTCGCTTCCCTGTGGTGATTTCAACTAGTCATTGAAGCACAGACCGCCTCGGTTCAAGTTTGCATCTGCATCCCTGAAAGTCTGCTCGCTGAGACCCTGGGTGCCGTGAAGACGAGCGCGCTTCGATACCATGGCAAATGCAGCCCCCCCGAATCATTCGAGGGTCAGCTCAAGCGCGCTGCCTCTTGGCTCGAGTGGTTTCAGGAGTTTGCTTTCGAGGGTGTGAGTTCGGCGGATCACAACCGCAGCCAATGGATCTGAAGTGCTTCGATGAGCTAGCAAGCGCAGTGATGTACAATGTAGATATGACATTTTCGGAGTGCTAAGGTGCTGTTCCAGGGCGACAACAAGGAAATCCCGAAAGGGAGCGTGGTGGAGGTGACACGCTTGCTCCCCGGCTCAAGAGCGCACTAGAGGCTAGCGTAAGGGCTGGCCAGAAGCCTGGTGTGATGAAGCGCAGCGACCAGCAGAGGTGGAGGCATGGCAAACTTTGCGTTCCAGCCATAACGACAAGATGTCTTTGTCAGCTTATTTCGAAAGTGGCCACGTAGCTTTCAAGTTGATACCAAACTTGCTACGCGCTGAATGGCTGATCCACTTGGCTTTGGAAAACACCCTAGCATGCACCGGATTGATGTTGTTGAACACATTCGGACATGTCCACATCTCCAAGTCGGTTCAATTCAAGCTTTTCGTCGACAGACATTGCTGTGTGCACTTTTCCTTGCCTCTCCCGTGCTGCATCGGGAGCTCTTCAGTCCACGCTAAACCCTTCTGCGATTGCAAGCTGGTGTGCCTCCTCATGATGGTGTGGAACACGAATAATCGTTCAACTGTTGGGAGTACCACAGTCTTAGAGTTGTCAGTGACTCTGGCCACTCGGACCCCAGTAGTCGGTCTGAGATGGGCCCACTCCAAGGCCGGCAACGTCGACGTTGGGCCGGGTTGGAAACTTCTTCAGCCCCTTTTCCTCGAACATGAAGGCCCATGCTTTCTTAATGACTCAGATGCTGAGTTTGACGGCTCGTAGTTCCAGGAAGTCCTTTGCATCAGCATCCAGAATGTGGCGAGATGTAAGAGGCACCCTCTTCGTACTGATTGGGCAGACTCCTCATCCAGAAACACTGCGATACGCCTTATTGTCGTAACGATATCCAGCGCAATCCTCCACGTACAATGCGGTCACGACTCACCGAAAGTGCCTCGTGTGAGCCTCTTCAGGAGGACGAGGTAGAGGTGACCTATCAGGGCAAGGCTGGACAAAAGCGGTGAAGGGTTGCCAGGCACATCGAGTTGACACCGGGCAGATAAGCAACTGGTGTTTCGGTGCCGTTGACTCGAGCAATTTTCTGCAGACGTTGTTGTTCCTATCATTTTTCGGGGAGGCCTGCGAGTTGCACAGCCATTGTAGCACCGGGTGTACGATGTGAGCTGAACCTATATTCAAACTTCTACATTGCACTGCAAGACCAGCTGTGCAGGAATATGTGGTGAAGAGCAAGGACCTGCAGCGCACGGCCGTTGGAAAAGTGTCGGTGGACGAGGGCCTTCAGGACCAGCGCAAACAGCAGTGTCTCGGATTCGGGTGTCGCATAGGCTTCGCAACTGTGGCTGAAGCTTACGCAGGCCTAGAACTACACAGAAGCATGCAGCAGGCACGCAAGCAGAAGTTTACAGCTTCAAGTTCGGAAACAGCCGCGACCGTTTCCGGCGGCCTCATTCGGGTTCGCATTTCCGAACAGATCCGCTTGCTTCTTCGTCATACCCACCGAAGCCATAGCGGCATCAAGAATGCAGATCACTTGCCTTCTTCCGCTCATCGTTTCTTTGACTTGAGGTCGTGAAGCGAGTACAGTGCCCCCCTGACAGACATACACACACACACACACACCACTCCCTACCCCATTGCTATTGGTACAGTTCAACATGGCAAAACTCACGTTTAATCGTGCGCAGATTCGGAGCATGATTTTGAACAGCCGTTTCCCAGCAACAAGCCCTGAGGACTGGCTCCTCAGCACAGGCGACACCATCAAAATCCAGATGCCGCCGAAGCAGCAAGACCCCAAGGACCCCTGCAGTCGCCAAATAGCGTTAGCATATGTTAGCATATCAGACATCTTTCGTGTCTTGGCAGGTCCTGAGTTGCATATATCTCACTTTTTCGCTACAGGTCTTCCTTGAGCAACAGTTGCGGCTCTTGCACTTATTGGAAGCTTGCCATCCGCAGAGAGCATCGGGAGGAGGTGCTTTGGTACCCTGTCTCTGGCGAGAAGGAGAAAGGTGCCTGAACAGCTCGGAGCGAACCCTGCTCGGTTCTCCCTTGGACACTTGACACCATGCGCTAGTAGTCGTGCGTGCGGAGTCGTCGGACTGTGACGAAGCGGAAGGAAAACAGCGATGCTGAGAGATCCAGATGTGGCATAGTGTGAACCGGGGTTTGTCCAGAGCACCGTTTGAGAGATTCGGTGGCTTCGACCGGCATTTAAGACAGTGACGAGCACAGAATCTTCAATCTGCAGCAACTCGTGCTCCATAGTATTGCCACTGGGTGTAGTGTCTCCATCAATGATGCAATGCTTTCAGTGGTTTTGGCAGGAGGCGGGGATACTGGTTGTCTGCTTGGAGCCGGGCATGTGTCGAGACGCTTTCGTTGATTCAGTACGGCCTGGCGCGAGGAGTCATTGACTCGCGTGAGATACTATCCGTTGACGGATGACGAAGATGAGGAGGATCAGGCGGATAGATGCATCTGATATTGTCGTTGTGCTTTGTCATGTCTCGTCCGCTCCTGCATAAACCCTCTAGAGCCTCTCCAGTGCGGAGAGAGAGAGCATTGCAGGTGGCATAGGGGCGCCTGCCGGACGCGTCGAGGATATTATCTAGACTCAAGTCGGTGCGAATATTGGTCGGGGATTTCGAACAGCTTTGTGGCACTTTATGGTCACATTTCGAACATGTCTGCTTAGCAGTTTGAATGGCATTCAGTAGATCAGATCAGACTGCCCAAGGCGGAAGGCCGCTCCAGAAGCTTGACATGCTGCTTGTGATCCACAGCATGCATTTGCATTGCCTGCCTTCTTTTTTTCCTGTAGATATGCGATCATGATTTTGGGCACGCTTCTTTTGCAAGCTCACTGTGTGCCGGCACTGGTGCGCTTTTGTTGGATTTTGTGAGGATTCATCACATGACAGGGCAGGACGTACCTGTGCAATTGAGTGACGGCGCCGGTGGTAAACACCAGCGCCATAAAAGGCTTGATCATGGCCTGCAAAGCATGGATTTGCATTTTCTCGGGCAAATCGTGGGCTTGGAAAGCCTGGCTTAGATAGCAGTTCTTTTGCTTGCATGCCCGTGGCAAAAATCGAGTCAGCATGCATCACAGATCACCCTAGAACAGCCCCCCTGCGTGGTTCTACTAGGTTGTTTGGAGCGTTTCTGCTTCAGCTGCACGGTGCAGATTTGGTCGGCTCAAGCTTGATTTCTTCGCTTCTCTTCGCGCTTTTGCCATGGCGACGGTGCTTTTGGCAGTCTGGGCCCTGAGGTTCCTCCCAGTCTCGGGAGACCAGGGGGCTGAAGAGTGCCTCTTGCAGATCCATGGCTTAACCAGATCCGGGCAAGGTGCCCTGGACCCCACAAGTCCATCGGGTCCATCACCGCCCCCATCGCTCTCTTCTCCCCCATCGCCTTTCGAGGTGATGCAGAAGCCGTGGACAGAAAAGGGCATTCATTTCCCGCAGTGCCCTGCTCGGGAGCAAGGCCCTCCCGGCTCGCCCCAAACCCAGGCCCATCCCTGGAAGCCGGTGCTGCTTGCGGAGCCCCAAATGCCGCTGCCTCCTAAGAAACCCAAGTGTCCACCGGGCTCCATGCTCATTGGCGACTTCGATGCGGCCTCCTACTCCTACACTTGCTGCGATGCAGGCCAACAGTGCGGAGGCTGCTCTTCCGTGATCGATGGGAAGTGCTCCCGGTGTGCCGCAGGCTATGTGAAGCAAACCATTCCGATCGTCAACAAAACCAAATGCTTTCTTTGTGATGACGTGGCGGGCTGGAAAGATGCAGCGGGGCGCAGTTGCGAGGACTACGCAAGCGTGTGCAATGGCAGCTGGCCGGAACCGTCGCTCGATGTGGCATTTGGAAAGCTCCGGCCCAGTGAGGCCTGCTGTGCTTGTGGCGGCGGGAGCCTTTATCCCACTCCGGTAGATCTGCCACTGTCCTCGGCCGTCCTTTTCAACGCTCAGAAGGCCAAACCCGGGTTCCTCAGGGCCTTGGCAGTTTCCATGTTTTGGATCTCTTCAGGTGGACTCCTCCCCTGAGCCTTTCACGGCCGAGACCACGGAGGCAGGGCTGGGATGGGGAATTCAATCAAGCTTGCCATCCCTACTGTTCGCTCTCAGGTCGACCAGGGCTGCTCCCTCGCCGCCGCGGGCTTGGAGCTGTCCACCACTGGCCGCATCAACGGGACCGTGGGCTCAGGGACGCAGGCATCATCTTGCAGCTGGCGAGAAGTGTTTCGAGCAATTTGCTGTGCTTTCCGGGAAGGCCCTCCAGTGCGGTATCACTTTTATCCAAGATCCCATTCGGGGTATCTCCTTCCCGGTTTCCCTGGACGTGACGGTCTCTGAGTTCTCCTACGGGAGCCCTGTGCTCATGTTCCAGGCGCGCGAGTTTGTATTGGTTCTCTATCGATGGTGCAGGGTGGCATGGTTGGGCTGTGCCATGGCGTCAGCTGCTTCTCGAATGGAGCTCCTTTGTTTCCGGCAGGTCCTTCCATAGCCAGAGCACCACAGCCACCATCATCAGCAAATTATCATTGATATATCATCGCTAACGCTCCAATGGCAAGTTGTCGCGGCCTGTGTCGAGTCTGCATGTGATAACTTGATTTTTGATACTGGCATGATTTGCGATTGCCGTTGATTGGCGTTGCTTGCGAGAGTGGCCATGCTGAACAATCTTGATGTCCTAAGTCTTAGCGCGAGCGATGAAGAAAGGCAAGCTGAACAGGTGTTGCAAACACTTTGAGCGCAACTCTCCAAGCACACCGGCCCGATCAAATGCCTTGTAATTCTTGCAATCCTGAACTCAACTCACGACGCATCGACGCATGTACACTGCCGAATGCATCGCGCCAAAGCTGTGACACGGAGCATTGCACAGGCCTGGGGCCTGGATGACATCGAGGCGGCAGAGGCCACGAAGAGCGCGAGGCATGGCGCGACGGCTAAACTGAGCAGCTCGGCCGCCTTGGCCATAAAGTCATAAATTGTCACAAACAGATCACAGACCCTGTGCTGCCTTGACTCCATTGTTACATGTGCGGCAATGGTCGACAGCAATGGCAGGGTAACGGCTATAGTAGTCTTGATGCTAAAGGGGCACACTGTCAGATGCAATGGACGCACTCTTGTGGGCGGCTTGCTCTCTTTGGCTTGTACTGATATTGCCATGCTTGAAGCTTTCGCCTAGCTGAACTACCGTAGCAGCCGCATGCTGGTCTCAGGTGATTTCGAGCTAGAGTGCGATCCTGTCTGCTCCTGGTTGTCTATCGATGCCCAGACGGGCGAGGTGAAATCCGGCCGGAACGTGTGGACACAGCAGGGCCTCCCGCCCGACATGTGGGGCGCAGTGCAGGGCTTCCCTGCAGTTCCTGGCTGCAGCTGCAGCGCCTCCGCGGCTAACGGCCGCAACCGCAGTCTGAGCCGCTTCGTCGCCCTGCAGACCCGGTTCTGGAAGGCCCCGGGAAACACCGCCGCACATTTAGGCAACTCAGCACAGCACCAGGCAGGCGGCTACGAGCGCGACGTGCCCGAGGCCCAGGCCAGCGGGTGCACATCAATGTCCAGCACAAGCAGTCAGTGGCAGCCGAGCATGGGTCCAGGTGGGCAGCCCCATTGTCCCCGTGCAGCTGCGCGAGGTCTTGGGTCGGCGACTCACTCCGTGCCCCGGTTTCCGAAACTTCTCCTTTTGAAGTTCAGGTCCGGGCCTCCGATGGTACGAGCGGCCGGGGCACCAGCTGAGCGCCCCCGTGATCCAAGACGACCAGGGCCAGTCCTTTGTGGTGCCCGCGGCCGTGGCTTCCTGCCTGCAAAACCATGGTCTGGGAATTCTGTGCTGCTCGCGCCACGCTCCCTGAGGTCCCCAGCATCCTGGATGTCCAGTGCACCGCGCCCGGACTTAAACTCACCTGGTCTCGGATCACTGGTGACGTCTCTTTTGCGGGCGAGGCCGACATGGGAGCAACAGCCAGAGTGTGAGCTTCACATTGTGTCCATTAGGGGGGAACGGTTGGCGTAATCATTTCGAAGGTGACTGATCTTTGCACTTGTGTTGGCTCGCAGAGTGCTTGAGGTCTTTGTAGGTGTTCGGGCATGTTTGGGCTCTTTGGCTGAAGCTATGGCAGTGATGACACGCGCAGAGGCCATTTGCCAAAAGCTTCAAAGGGAGCCGACGACCAAGAATCCGTCAGAGTCGCGGCTCTTGCTCCTTCCGAACCTGCTCCAAACAATCTTGTGCAATGCTGCGGGTGTGGGGGGAGGGGATCCTTGCATGATACTTGGTTTTCCTCTTCAGGAGTGCGGCCTGCAGAAAACATGATAAGACACAGCTCCTATCATGACATGTACGCTCCTTGTTATCTTGCTACTGGTGGTCTGGTCAGGTGGCCTTCAACCTGGATCCGGAGAGCGGCTCCGTCTCCGGGACGCCAAGCCTCAGCCTGATGCAGCAGGCGGGGCGTGCGCGCCTCAGCGTGCGCTGCCTCGTGGCTCTCGGAGGCAGGGGGCACCCTGGCACCCCTGTCCGTGTTCAGGATCGCTTTAAAGGGGTGCTGACGGCAGGTCCCCTGTATGATCGTGTCCTCCCGGTGGCCACCATCAACATTCAGCTCATGGACAATGTGTGCTGGGTCCCGGGGCACCTGCCTTGCCAGCTCCACTGGCACAAGTTCAACTGCGACCAGCTTACCGCTAGTGCCCTACAGCAGTCCATGGGCTCGGAAGTTGCCTCACACCGCCACAGACGTCGCCACGAGCACAGACGCCGACACGAGCACCCCAAGCATCCTTGCAACAACAGCCACGCCTATCACGCCTGCTTGCAGCAGTGCCGCGAAACACCAAGCTGCAGTGCGGTCTATGTGGCCGACGATGAATGCTGGGTGCAAGCCAGCGACGGCAAGCACGTGGAACATAAAGACGACAAGGAGGGCCGGATGCTTGATTTCAGTTCAGATGTCAGATGCGCGCACTTGCGAGCCTTTCATTACAAGATCCTGTCGAGCCAAGGCTGCTGATTCGCGTGGACAATTGTTCCCAGAAAACAGCCGATCTGCTGCTCGAAGCGCCTCGGGCCCAGCTCGTCGCCGGCATTTACAGCCCCAGCGACGACTACCACAATTCCGTCTCCTACTCCCGCGCCGGGGCGGCTTCTCCGCAACTGTGTTCTGTCCGGCATGGGCAATCGGATTTCTGCACAGATTTTAGAGGTTTGCGGGTGGAAGCCGAGGTTGTGCCAGAACGCCAGCTGGTTCTTGCTCCTGCCACTGCCTTACATATATGGGAGGATAAATGAACAAATGAATAAATAGATGAATTCATAGATACATACATACTTTCTATATATAGATATAATATGTATGTACATATATATATATATATATATATGAATAAATACAGTAAATATGTAAATAGATATTGTTGCACATGTCGCCTGCCCATGACGCTCATGAGATCCCGCACGAGCAATGACGTTTCGATCTTGAACACTTTTGTTTCTGCATGTTCTGCGCCCAGGCCAAGGACGTGCACCGTTCTCTGCCGAGACATTGTGAGGGCTCTTCCTGGCTGTTGGTCCACGCGAACAGTTCCGACTTCACATCAAGCGCCACTTCACCGCAGTACTACGGCGAGGTCATGGCTTGCATTCAAGGAGACGTGGTGAATGAAACCTTCGACAAGGGCGTTGCCAATTTCAGCCTCGAGTTCCTGGACGCCGTGGTTGATGACCCCATGCAGTTCGAGCGGCCTGCAGCCAAGCAGAAGGCCAATCTTTCTATCTCCGCTCCCCCATGCTCCAAGCCACAGAGCCCCTCGGAGCTCTTGTATGGCAGCGTCCAGGCGCCGCAACTGTACTCCCTCTCGGCATGCGAGTGCTTTGGGGAAGCCTATGCCAGCACGGACCCGGTCGATCCGGATTCCAATGCAGCCGTCCCACGAAACGGAGACCGAGCCTTCAACGTGAACCCGCTCAAGGATCAGCTGATCTTCACCGGGCCCTACACCTGTGAGATCAATGCTGGGGACTCAGCAGGCTTTAAATGCGCAAAGTAGGAGACGCATCGCAGACTCGGAGACCTGATCTGGCCTCTCTTTGGGGGGGCGGGGGGGTTGCGGGCAGCTGAGGCGATGCTGTCGACGATCCAGGGCTTTGAGCTCGATGAGTGCAAGCAGGCCTGCCACGAGCAGGATGGCCAGTGCCGGTTCTACCTTCTCGACCAGGCATCGCAGGTTTGCACCCTCTTCTCCGCTTGCGACGCCATACAGTACGTCGGCTTGGGCCTGTCGAACGAGCTGTGGGGATTGGCTGGCGTTGGCGAGCATGCTCAAGACTACTGCCGCATCGCGGACCCGCAGGGCTGCTGGGAGGACGTCCTTCGCCGGCGCTATTTGAGCCCGGAACCCTCGGACTTGCCGCGCTGCGCCTTCCAGGCTCAGTTCGAGGCCTGCGACGCACTCCAGCTGATGTTAGGCGAAGCATTTGGCACCTGCACCAGGCCGGAGACGGGGGATCGGGGAGAGATGTTCGAACTGCTTGGTGATGCCGTTGCGCCACACGTCAGGTGCGAGTATCTGCCTGCAGATCTACCGGAAGTGAAGACATCCATGGAGAAGGTCCCGCTACCGGAGGAGTTTCCGGCAGGCTCCCAGATTCAGGTTAGCTGCAACGCCACGTCCCGTATGTTTGCTGGCGTGCTGGGCCCACGCCCGAGCACGGTTTTCACTTGTGTGGGTGGCGACTGGGTTGGCGAGGAGGGCTGGCAGGACCTAGAGAACCTGACGTGCCAGCAGTGCGTGCAGGTCGGGACGGAGAGTCTCCAGAGGCTGACAAACGTCTCGCAGGCCGCCGCATATCTGATTGCGCAGAGGCGCATCCAGGCCACATACGATTTCAGCACACCCGGCTGTGAGTCGGCGTCGCTCCCGACGGCCGCCAAACTCGTCTCCATGGCGACAGGCCGGGCGCTGGAGGTGAAGAAGGACAGGGTGTCAGGGGGGGACTTGTTGTTACACGGTGCAGTTACATTTGGCTGCCATTGTGATCTGCAGGACCGCAGCATAAGCTCCGCCGTCACCAGCGATGCGCACACACTCTGGTGGATTGATGCCGAGACAGGCTTCCTCCGACTGAAGTCGCCCGTGCTCACCGGAGGCGGCAGCCGCCGCCGCAAAGGTGGCGATGATGATAAGGGCGGCCGCCGCCGCCGCAAAGGTGGCGATGATGATAAGGGCGGCCGCCGTCGCAAAGGTGGCGATGATGATAAGGGCGGCCGCCGCCGCAAAGGTGGCGATGATGATAAGGGCGGCCGCCGCCGCAGGGGAAGCAAAGACGTCGTCAGCTGGTGCCTTTGCTTCAAGCACGCCCTTGAGGCCTGCAAGTGCGAGCATGGAAACGGCTGGAGTTTGGACAGAATGGGTCGGCTGAGCAACCAGAAGTCGCAGTGTGTCTTCGACCAGAACCACACGCTGCAGGTAGGCATTTGCCATGAGGATCCGCAGACCGGGCCCCTTAGCTCCAAAGGCTTCAAGTTGTTTTTTCGGTCCTGGGCTCTGCTCTTTCTGAAAGAGTTTCGCTTGCAGGCTCCACTGGTTCTTTGAGGGCGGCAACTGCATGCTGCACATGGCGATGGTGGACACAGCCGAGCTTACATGGAACATCTCTGTGGAGGCTTCAGGATCCTCTTGGCTTCTGGCAGAGGTTATCGAACAGACGACTGGCGGCGCTTTCAGCATTCGCAATCGCATGCGCCACAGACGCATCCGTCTGACCCAAACAGCCTACACATTCTTGATATTTGCACCTTTTCTCGGAGTCTTGAAGGGCTGGCACTTCAATCAATTCTAAGGTTTCCGGAGTATTCAGTGTCCGTCTCGCCCGGTGGATCACTACTGGCGGAGTACAAGGAAGATTTCCCATGGCAGAGCCGAGACGGAAAGATTTTCTGCAATCATCTTGGGCCACTCGGCTGTGCCGACCCATACCTTTGTGGCTGCATTGAGCTTGCTCGAAAGAGCTTCAGGCATGAGTCATTTGATGCCAAACGTCGTCGACAGAAGATAGTATTGCCCCTGCCGGATGATGCCCCGACTGAAGCAGCCCCGCAAGACATCTGAAGGAAGTTGAATGAAGCTTGCACGTTCATCATCGGCCGCCATTGGCCCCGGCTGCAGGCCCCGCTGAATCGCTGTGCCCTGCGGAACCCGCAAGATTCACATGATTGCGAACAATCATATGGATCTGCACACTCTGGAACACGAAACACCATGGCTACCTTAGCGTCTCTCTTATCCTCATGCCCGAAGGAAGTGCTGAGGCAGCTGTTGTGTACTGCATGTGAACGGCTGCCACTGCTGCATGTGAATTGTGGGTCAAACGGCTCCTCCTGCCATGCTGTGACCCAACCGCAGTAGCGGATGAGCTCATCACCAGAGCCCATAGCTTTGCTGCAGGTGCTGAGGTGTGAGGAGTCCGTGATGAAAATGCAAGGAACTAAGGGTGGTCGTCACAATCCCCGAAGCTCCCCCACAATATGCCTCACCTCCTGCAACCCGGAGCCCTTGAATGCCTCAGAGGGATGAGAGGACTTGAACGGGGGGTCAGGTCGAACCCCGGCACGCTGAAATTCGGTACCTCTCGTCTTTCTTGAGCCATGTGACCTGCATTGGACTGATCACCGCCATATCTTTGTGCAGTAAGCAGTACTCCTTCCGAGTGCTCTTCCAGTAGTCACGGCAGAACAAAGGTCTGACGACAGATACCTCCTCGGGTTCAAGAATGGAAGCCTCGGCTTGGGAAATGCCATGCAGGCGGATGGAACCGCTGGACAGTGGACCTGCAGCAAGGAGAATGCCTTAACCAAGACCGGGCCTTCTGACTTCAGCTGCATTCACGCCGGCGTCACGGTGCGAAACACCCAGGAATACATTCCGAGTATACTTTCCCACTTGCTCAATCCGTGGAATCACAACAGTTGGTTCCCAGCGAAATTTGAGCTGGACTGCCCGAACGGATTCATTCGAGGATGGACCGCCAAGACGGTAAATGGTGCCCCAGTGACCTTTCCCGGCTTCCATTTGCAATGCATGAACTTGACCACAGCAACGATCGAGTGCCAGACCGAGTACCAAAGTTTCGATTTTCTCAGCCTGGGTGATAAAACTTTCAAGCCGCTGGTGGACTGGACATACAACGACAGCAGGTCAGTGAATTTCAGTTGCGCAAGGCCCGGGGATTGCATCAACATGAGCAGCCATGCTATCAGCCTGTCCATGTGTTGCTAATAGGAGCGGGAAGCAGCAGGTAAGCAGCCGAATATGAACAAGAGATAACAAGAGCACATAGTTTGCGAAGAGAGCACTTCCTCGAATGATTCAATGCCTTCTGAGTCTTCGGAAAGTTGTGCAAGCGTTTCCGAAGACTGTTGGGCCAGTATTGATGAACAGTGTTGGACAATTGTCACATCATGTTTCGATGATGCATTCCGGCAGTATGATCCAGCAAACGCAAAATCATCACACGCACACACACACACACACCGTAGACGGTGGATTGAACAGTTGTCGGAATCAGCTTGGCCAAGTTGCAAAAGACTGCTCTACATGGATTGCCACGCAACACAACGGGTTCCATTCCCTGGGACATGCGTCAGCTACAACATGCGTCACCTACCCCTCCAGCCGCCATCTCCATAGATAAGATCCCCAAGCGCCCTCTGAATGCCCAAGATGTGCCCCCTGTTGCCGCTCCAATTGCCGCAGGCCCACGGCTGCAATGTCGAGCTTCTTCTTTGCCATGAGCGAGACAAATCCTGATCGTAGTATTGATCCTGTAGTAGCTGAGTTCACTTGGGACGTGCATTACAAGTGCTGCGAGGCTCCAGAAGGATACGTCATTGGCAAAGCTGATTCCATCCACAGCGATGGATTGTGGTTTACAGAGGGTGGGAAGGTGAATGTGGGACCCTGTCCTGACGGGTATGTCCTGCAGAAAATCGAATTGATCAAGGGGGTGAAGACGACTTGCAGTCCCATTCATGGGTCAGGCGTGGGGAACCCACGGTTCACGCCGCGGTCTGCTGGCTACCCATACTACGTTCCAAGCCTCGTGCCTCTGGAGCACAGCGGAGTTTGTTCCGAGTCCACGCAATGGACGTGCCAGGAGCATGACGTTCTTGGCATACCATTGGGCACTTGCAAGGCGGAGGTTTTTGTCCAGTCTCCCTTCCACGTGGAGTTCGTGCCAAGAGAAGGGGCTTGTGTGTCGGCAGTGGGTGGAAGCCAACCCACTCGCGCTGTCAAGGTCCATGACAACGTGAGATGGCGCTGCGCGAGTGACGAGGCCTGCTTCGCCTTTCAGAGCACTGGCTCTGACAGTGGTGCCGGATCTCTCTTCATGGAGGTGGTGAAGGCATCAGGAGGTGATGGCGAGTGCTCCGTCAAAGTGGTGAGCCCCTGGTCGGCGGAAGCGGAGTCTGTGCCGCTGACCCTCGCAGTCCTGGACGAAAAGCACCTCCCTCGGGCGACGCAGCAGGCCTACAATGCCACGAAGGTCATCGAGTTCAGGACAAGCAACGAGGCCCGATGCATATGCGGACCCTTGCCAAAACATTTAACATCAGTCTGAACCGAAGCCCGGATCCGTGAGGCCGACGCCCACGTGCTCTTCAGCTGCATGCCCAACGGAATCTCCAGCGATGCGCCGGTCGCGTGGCCGCCTTACATCCGCTGTGGAAGTGCCACCATGAGACTGAGCGACCTCAAGGATGCGGTCGGAGTGCAGCTTTGAGCAGTTTGGAAACGCTGCATGTGTTCGGTTTGTGTTGACTCCATTTAGGCATGGAGCCAGTTCTTAGTTCTTCTGCAGGTATGACAGCATGAAGAAGAACCCATCTTTTTTGACTCCCTCCATCCGGAAGACCTGCGCCTCCATTGTGCAAGCTCGAAGCTCGAACGCAGGCGATGCCAGCATGACGGGCATGAAGCTCTTAACACTCCTCCAGAGGCAGAAGTACTTCAGCACCAGCATGGGAAACCCACAGCTGCCTCCTTTCAACCAGTCAGGACACGCATACCCCTGGCTGCTCGGGCACGGCAGCCTGACACGGCTTGGCAAGGTCATGTGGGGGCTCAACTGCCCGGAGGGTGCCATCGTGACGAGCAGCCCCACCACGCAGCCGCACTGCCTGCAGGTAGGGGCAGGCGCGGAGAACTGGTTGGAGGTGCTTTCCGGCTCGGCCGTGTGCCCTCCAGGCAGCGCCGTCTCCGGCTGGTACAACCTCCCCGGGGAGCCAGTGCAGGGCAATGGCGCCGGCGGTCCCGCGCATTTTGTGGGAATGCGGCTCTTCTGCCGCAAGACGAATCTGCTTTCCAGCTGCCAGCAGCTGATGAACCCTTCCTGTCAAAAAGGGGAGGTTCTCGCTGGCATCGGCTACAGCAGCAACAGCATGAGGGTGAAGTGCTGCAAGCTCCAGCAGCGAGTCGGCCTGCGCCTGATGCCCCAAGGCACGAAGGAAGCACGGAAGGATTTCCAAGGCTACTACTGCCCGACCGGCATCGACAGCACCGGCGCGCCCTTCTACACCAGGCGCCGTGCTCAGCACTCGGGAACCCCTCGTATGCGGACGTGA